ACTTTGAACAGTTACAATATTGAAAAAATGCGAAAAAATAAACAAAGGCACGGAGATTGAAGAGGGAAAGGATAAAACCCTAAAAAATTCTAAGCATAAGAAATTTTTTTTTTGTGTTTTTATTGTTTAAAAAAATAATTGAATTATGAAACCTAACTCTAATTAATTTTAAAATAATGAAAAAAATCAAGGTGATTTAAATTAATTAATTTTTATTGTGAAAATAAAATTAATTAATCAAAGCAAGCTAAATCTAATATTTTTATGATTTTATGATTTTTATGAAAATTAGATATTATTAAAAAAAGAATTAAATCAAAATAAAATAACAAAAAAATCTATGGGTTGCGTTATGAAAAGAAAATGAGGGGTGTGAAAACAGGAAGTTGCTTGGGCCTAAACCGAACGAGCCCAAATACCATAGATGATTTAGTTCAACTGGATTCACATGTTCCATGGTGCGCCTACTAATCTGGAGCGTTGGATTGAAATCTGATGGCCCAGACATGGAGTGTACCATGCGCGTGCTAGCTTCTTTTGTACTAGATCTGAAATAGAAACAAAACAAATGGAAAAATGTCCCTTGCCTTGCTCGAACCTGCGACCAAGCATATGAATGCCTTAAGAACACGGGCGCTTCCACTGGGGTGGCTATACATCCGGTATATAACTTCAATAAAACATTATAATATGAAACGACAACTAATGCCAGACAAGCAAACACGCGCGTCCCAGTGGCCCCTCCTGGATTAGAATGAACCAATCATGATGCTCCGTTTTGCTATAAAGTTTCTCAGGTGAGTCAGGCCACCCCTCCCGGTGGTCAACTATTTCTTCTTCGGTTGCTCAAATCATGAAAACCTGCAAAAACGTGAAATCAAAACACGAAAGGTACCCTACTCCCCTTAAAATTTTCCCCTGAATCCGAATCTGGGGTGTGTTTGGGCTAAAAGTTCTTGTAACATAAAATCCTAAGCTTAGGAAGCTCCATGCCCTAACCATGTCATGATGTCATTTCTATATCCATGCTTACATGTAAAACGTTAGAAAATTGCAGAAATTGCATATGAATGAAACAAACATGTTTACAAGGATTTAAACTGTGAAAATCTTGAGAACATGAAACCTACCCACTTACAAACCGGAAATGATGTGAGGGGAGGTTTCTAGGCTTGATTTGCAAAGGGTAGTGATTGATTCTGACTCCTGGAAACTTCATGAGGATAATGGAAAGCTTGGATCAGCTTCAAGACTGCCGGAGATGCGAGATATAATTATCACAACTTCTTTGAATTTTTGGAAAATTTTGGAGAGCTTTTGTGCAATGATTTTCGTGTCCTTTGATATGCTCTTATTTTCTTTATATAGAGGAAGGAAATGGGCTAACAAATATGGAAAGAGATCAAGCCATGACGGCCTTAACCAAATGAGGTAAAACCTTAACTTGCCAAAACTTGAGATTCTTGCCTTCTTTAAGCCCTTGCACGAATTTGTAATGTTGTTGGGTTGTCACAAGTTGTGTTGGGCTCTAAGAGAATCAATCCATATGCTGGCCCATTGGTTTTCTATTTCATTTATTTATTTTTGAATTTATTTGAATAAAAACAAAATAAAATATAAATAAAATGATGAGAAAATATAGGGCAAGGTGTGATTGGATTTAAGAGTCTCTCATAAGGTCATGGATATGTTTGAATATCAACAAGTAGGCCCACAAGTTCAAAAATTCAAATTTGCTCATTTTGCATTTCATGCATTTCCTCAAAATTTCCCAACTTGTGCAACTCATAACTTACTTAATTTTTATCTTTTTAAGATGATCTAGGACTTTTTGAAAAGCTCAAGATGTCCTCTACACTTTCACTTTTGATGATTTTTTCATTTGGAGACCTTATCTTGATGTAAGTTGCCTTGACAAAAAGTGTCTTTTATTGACTTTTGAAAATGACGTATAATGTATTAGCTCATATCTTTCAAATGAAGCATTTTTTGTACTTGATCATAAAATCAAAGATGTAGAGAATTGAATTTTATTCAAAATAGGCTTTTTCTGGGGAAATGTTGATGAAGTATGTGAAAGTTATGCCTGGTCAAAGTTCAGTTGACTTCTCTTACGGAAACCCTAATTTGATAATTCTTGTCTTTTGATGATTTAAGAGTTTTCCTTGGGGAATAATGATCAACCCTTGATCAAATGATGAATATCACTTTAAAATGTTGATGTTGAAAAAAAATATTGAAGTTTGATTGTATGTTGACCATAATTGACTTTTTATCCAATATAGTTGATTTTCAATCATCTGAGTCATTGACTGAGCAAACTTGTGATGTATGACTTGAAACATGACGTGAAACTTTTTGAAGACCTATGGAGAACCATGGAAACCACTTGATACCTTTGCAACCTAAATTTCCTTGTGAAACTCAAAACCCTAGTTGTAGACCTTTGGCTTAGGAGGAGCATTTGACTGATCATCCCTTGAGATTCTTGAGTATTTGAGGAGCCTTGAAAGAATGCCTTAAAGAAAATGGGAGCAAACGTTTTAGGGTACAACACTTTCCTTCCAAACATATGTGATGAGCATACTAAGTCCAAGTACCATTGGTCCTTGAATCTCTCTTCATCTCTTGTTGTTACCATCATTGTCATCTCTTTTTCTTCATGTTTTGAAAACTTTGCATCACTTTCTTGATTCTTTCATTTTTCTGGACAATCACTAGAATAGTGACCATACTTATGACAATTGAAACACTAAATGTTACTGTTGGCAGGTCTTCAACCACCACCTCTTCCTCTACCTCCAACACCACCTCTTTGGTTGCTTTGGTATGGGAGTATTCTTTGAATCGACACAATTTCTTCATGATGGTGTCCTCCACCAATCGAATTGTTATAGATTCCTCTACCTCTGTTGTCGAACCACTTTCCTTTGGCTTATTTTCCCTTGATGACTGCACATGCAAAGCCACATCACTCTTCGACTTCCCTCCAACTCTTTCATCCATTCTTTGTTCATGAGATTCAAGTGTTCTTTGAAGCTCTTCTTTTGTCAATGTCAACAAATTCTCTGACTCTTCTATGGCTACCACCATGTGATCTAACTTTGGATCCAATGACCTCAAGATCTTTGCAACAACTCATCTTGTTGTCAACACTTCTCTCCATACCTTGATTTGATTCACCAGTTCAGTAATCCTAGTGAAGAAATCAATTATGCTTTCACTTTCTTCCATCTGAAGCAATTCATACGTTCTTTTGTGAGTTTGTAATCTCACTTCTTTTACCTTTTCTGCATCTTCAAAAGACTTTTCCAAAATTTCCCAAGCTTTTTTTTCGCAGATTCTACATCACTCACTTTTTCAAAATTGTATGGACTCGGACATTGATGAATTATAAAGAGAGCTTTATAATTCTTCTTCTTTAATTCTTTGTGTGCAATCTCTTATGCTTCTGTTGTGTCTTCTTTAAGTGTTTCTAACCCTTCTTTCACAAGATCCCAATGATCTTTACAACAGAACATAACATTCACCAGATTGCACCAATTCTCATAGTTATCAACTTTGAGAATTAGAAGACTTGCTGGAAAATGCCCATTCAGATGATTCATTGTCGTCATAATTTTCTTTCCTTGAATCGTGCAACTGGAGCTCTAGATACCAAATGTTAGAAATCCACCAAAATCTATGGAGAATTTCTATCAATCTTGATGAACAAGATTAAAATGGATACACAATAATAATGAAAAAGAAAGAAAATTGCGGAAGAAAGAAAATAAGGGTTTGACAAAAATAGGGAAGACAAAGATGATTTTCTGCAGAGTTACTCTCTACCCACAAACTGTGGAAAACTTCTTATTATTCTCTTGCAACAACAAGTTTCACGTTCTGTGAATTGTATTCACACTATATATAATTTTAGGTTAGCTTGCTCTCTAAGTCAAAGCCCAAAAATAACTATTTTAGACCTAAGTCGAAATCCTGTGTGAAACAACCTGCTTCGACACTTTGACAGCTAACACAACTCAGCACACTACTTGACTAAGCTATTTTGATACAATCTTTCTTTTGTCGAACAACCTGCTTCGACACAAGAAATTACATTTTCAAGAGGATTTAGGGGCAATTGTTCAATGTTGTTACAAAGGTCCAACACATAACGCACATGCGACAAGTGAAGAAATTGTGGGACCTCATCCAAGCATGAAGTATGCAACCCCAACTTCCAACCTTTCTCCCCCATATGATCTAATCAAACAACGATCTGCATATTGTACCAAGTTGATTATGAGGGTTTTAATCGCTCACCCTAAATAAGTTTCACATGCTCTAGTTTTAAATATCTCTTTAACTTTAACTATAAACGATTTTCACATATTTTACTAACTTAGACATTTGAGTGTTATCTGTACAAATCCACTCTACTTTATCATATCAGAAGAACACGTCACCGCATCATCTCATTCTTAATCTAGTTTCACTAGGGAACAAAATCTATTTATGTTGATTGTTAGTCTTGCATCAATAGCAAAAAATAAAAACTATTTATGTTAAAGAAAAATATAATCTATTTAAATAGTTGAATTAATTGCAAAATATAATTTATAGTTGAATATAATTTTACATATAGTTATCTGTAATCTAAAATAAACAATCATAGGATATTTCATCTGTACAGATCTGAAAATCAAAACCATTTTAATTGACAGGTCAGTTAAAAACCTCTTCCTTTTGTAAAACAAAAACTCATTTGTGTGATAGAGAGAATAGAGGGACCAATATGTAGTTTCCCAAAGCAAGAAAGGGAGGTGTAAAACCAAAAGAGTCCTAAAAAACTTTGTGATTAGTCCTTACAAAACCCCACATGACTCTGTTTTTCTTTTCTCTATCAACCACTTAGTACTATTCACCCTAACCCAATTGCATCATAAATACCCACCACATTCCCCCATTCTTACCTTCACAACACATCACAAACACAACCTTCACTTCTTCTCCAATCAATGGCTCTAACAAAATCAACCAAACTTCCTCAAACTCAACTCATCAAACAAATCCTTAAAAGATGTTCAAGTCTAGCCAAAAAACAACAACAACAATCCTACTATGATCACGTTCCTAAAGGTCACTTTGTTGTCTATGTTGGTGAAAACCGAAGCAGGTACATTGTTCCAATTTCCTTCCTAACAAGACCAGAGTTTCAAAACCTTTTACATCAAGCTGAAGAAGAGTTTGGATTTGATCATGACATGGGTCTAACCATCCCTTGCGACCAAGTTGTTTTTGAGTCTCTTACTTCCATGCTTAGATAGAAAGTTTCCATTTTTTTTAGGGAGAGAAGAGAAAAAACACCTAAAGATGAAGCTGCTTCATTGCTTCTCTACGAGTTTATAATTTTCTCCTTTTTTTCTTCTTCTTTAGTTTCCAAAATATATATTAATATTAGACTATGTATGTATGATTATGAATGAATGAGGTTGGTGTTTTAGAGAGAGTCCAACCTCATGAAAATTCCCCAAGAGTTAATGAATCTTTGTGGGTTGATTTAGATTGTAAATCTAGTTTAGTAGAAATTAAGCACCATTTTTTTTCCTGCGGAATTTCTCATTTGATTTGAGGGGTTAAAGTTAATCTATGCAATTCACATTTTCACTTTATTAGTTTACTTGACTGCACAAACCATTCTTTACCTTTTTATTTACATTGCAATTATTAGTACGGAATGTTCGGTTTTGTATACCTTAACAAAACTAGCAACTTTGTCCAACTTTCAAGGTAAGATGTGTTTAATTTCACTTTCATCATCTTCATCAATATTATATCTTTCTCTCTCCTAGAGGATCCAACTATGTTTAAGTTATAATAAAATTAGGGTGGACCCGATAGATTAAGAGAAGTATGTTTTCACTTGTTTTCTTAGAATATTTGTTTATCCCAATTTGCCATCAAGATATTTAGGCATGAAACCAATTTAGTTTGGAATAACTTCTTCATGTGACTTCAGCAATTGCTAATGGAGGTTTGAAGTATTTTTAGGAATGGAGAGTTCAAGCTTTCTTGAGATAGGGTATCTAATTCTACCTCAATCGCACTCCTGTGATCTTCCTCAATTGTGAGATATATAAAATCAATTACAATTTTTCAAATAATATATATTATTATTGTAAATTAACTTATTTAACTACATCACTAAATACAATTAATAAAGGTCCACAAATTTTAACTCAATTATTAAAAATTAATATTATTAAGTCAAACACTATCATTAGATTTTGTAACGTACAAAGACGTCAATTATTGGTGCCTCCTAAGTCGCCAAATACTTAAGCGCTTTGACCGGTCGTGCCTTGTGTTTGAGGAGTATGTACATCCAAGATGTATATACCAGATAACGTACCAAGACGCTAAGTATTGGTTCCTCCCAAGTAGTCAGACACTTAAGCGATGCGGCCCTTTGCACCTTGCGCTTGGGGGACTATGTACATATGGGATGTGTATCCCGGATAACATACCAATGCGCCAATTATTGGTGCCTCCTAAGTTTCCAGATTCGGAGTGTATATCCCGGATAACGTACCTAGATGCCAAGTATTGGTGCCTCCTAAGTCGCCAGATTCGGGATGTATATCCCTGATAACGTACCAAGACGCAGTATTGATGCCTACCAAGTCGCCAGACCCTTAAGCGCTTCGGCCCTTTGCGCCTTGCGCTTAAGGGCTATGTACATCTAGGATGTACATTCCGGATAACATACCAAGGTGCCAAGTTTTGGTGCCTCTCGAGTCGCTAGTCACTTAAGCGCTTTGGCCCTTCACGCCTTGTATTTGGGAGGCTATACACATTGGGGATGAATATTCTAGATAACGTACCAATACACTCATTAAGCTGACTTTACATCCCAGGACGGAACCAGAATGCGCAAATCCCACGCACAACCAAGTCTCCCAAATGAAGACGACCGTTATCGCATGAAACATTATCATCTATGATATTCAATGCCCTTTATGGCTTCAAGACGACAAGAAACCATGACAATGATGGTCATGAATTCGATGCCATCACTCCATTGGTATCGTGCATTATAAATAAGTACCCCCTAAAAAAATAAAGGCAAGCAATCATTTAGACAAAACTATTATCTTACTGCGACTTCTCCCGACCCGCTATGGGAAAGTTAACAATATTGTTCTTCAGGAACAATTGTATGTACATCCAAGATGAATATAACGGATTACGTACCAAGATGCTCATTAAGCCGAATTTACATCCCATGACGGATCCAGGATGCACAAATTCTATGTACAACCAAGTCACCCAAACGAAGACAACCGTTAACACATGAAACATTAGCATCTATGACATTTAATTCCCTTTATGGCTTCATGGCGATAAATAAACCATGACAATGATGGTCATGAATGCGAAGCCATCAATCCATTGGTACTACGCACTATTAATAAGCACCCCCTAAAGGAAGAAAGGCAAACAATCATTTAGACCAAACTATTATCATACTACGACTTCTCCCAGTCTGCTCCGGGGAAGTTAACAATATTGTTCTTCAGGAACAGTTGGTGCCCACCGAGGGGCCTGGTAAAACTTTCCAAGGCCGCACAAACTTGCGAATAGATGGACCAAAAGCAAAGCTAATAATAACGGTGTGGTGTCCCAAGCCATGGAAGAATTGGCCGCCATTGTAGAGTTCTTACGTCAACAGAATAAACAGTTATATAACATGGTGCACGAACTTCAGCAACAACACCCCCAACCTCCACCAGAGGAAGAGGTTCAAGACGACCCTATTGATACACAACCATTATCCAAAGAAATCTGGAATGATGAGGTCCCAGAAAACTTCAAACTCCATCAGCTCTCATCGTTCAACGAAAACAACAACCCTCAAGAACACATTTTAACCGTCAACACCCAAATGGTTATTATCAGAGCTAGTGAATTGATAAAATGCAAGCTGATGGACGAGACACTGAAGGAGGCGGCATTATGTTGGTATATGGGGTTACCAAAACACTCGATGACGAGCTACCAAGATTTGGCCAGAAGATTGATCCACCAATTTTCTGCCAGCAAATACTGCAAGGTTTCCATAACTAGCCTATTTAACATTCGCCAGGGGCAAGACGAGACATTCTGAGAGTACGTGGCATGTTTCAACGAAGATACCATCAAGGTATCCCATCCCAATCAGGATATATTTAAGGGAGCCTTTCATAACGATTTGAGGGCGTGGCATTTTAACGATTCTCTAGCCTAAAAGCCCGCCACTACAATAGAAGATATCACCACCCATGCAAAATGTTACATATGAGTAGAAGAGATAAACACAGAGAGAAAGTCAAGATAAGTCGAGATATGTCAAAAAGAAAGGTCCATCTTCTCGTTCTGAGGGTGCGAGATCTAAAAAATCTAAAGAGCAACTATATAGCAGGAATAGGCTGCCTCATTTAGGTAGGCTTAACAGAAGACCATTAGAGCACGGGACTCCCTTGAACGCCAGTAGGGAAAAGATTCTACAAGATACCTACAGGACTCATGTCATCCTAGAAACGGATCCCCTAGGGGAGATATGATGATACCCGATTCTAGAAATTGGTGCAAGTATCATAAAATTTGAGGCCATCAGAGTGAGGATTGTTACCATATCAAACAAGAGACTAAGAAGCTCATACAGAGAGGACGCCTCCAAAAGTATTTGCAAAATAATGGATGACCCTCCCTGGATCGAGCCAACGGGTGAACATCACCCCCAAAGAAACCCAGGAGGGAGAAGTTCCCTATGCCATACGCTTAACACTATTGTCAGAGGCTTTGTCGGGGCGGTGAGTCCAATCGATTACTGAAAAGTTACACAAGGAAAGTTGTTGCACCTGTAGCGATAAAAAAATGTAGCGGGGTAAATCAGAGATCGAATTATTGATTAATTCGTCTCACAAAAAGCAAGAGTCGCCACCCGCGCTTTATTATTTCCAAGGGAAAAGGGGAAAGAGCGAAATAAAACCCTAAATATGCAATGTAAAATAATACTTTTAAAAGTAATAAAAATACAAGGCGTTTTTGAAAAGAGATCTATGGTTCGGGGGTTGGTTATACAATGGGAAGGTATTAGCACCCAATGTATCTATAGTACTCTATAGGAACCTTTTGAAATATCTGTTTATAAAAACGTTCGTTTGATTAAAAAAATAAATTGTTTTGGCCGAAACATCCAATCTTTTCAAAAATTGACACCTTTTAAGCCAAAAACTCCGACATTAGGTCGTCGTACCTTCAAAAACCCGTCCGTACCCCTTTTCGGCCAAAACAATTTATTTTTTTAATCAAACGAACGTTTTTATAAACATATATTTCAAAAGGTTCCTATAGAGTACTATAGATACATTGAGTGCTAATACCTTCCCATTGTATAACCAACCCCCGAACCATAGATCTCTTTTCAAAAACGCCTTGTATTTTTATTACTTTTAAAAGTATTATTTTACATTGCATAGTTAGGGTTTTATTTCGCTCTTTCCCCTTTTCCCTTGGAAATAATAAAGCGCGGGTGGCGACTCTTGCTTTTTGTGAGACGAATTAATCAATAATTTGATCTCTGATTTACCCCGCTACATTTTTTTATCGCTACAGAATTGGCGACTCTGCTGGGGACAGATTGACCTCTTGCTGGTCCATCCCTAAGTGGGTTAAGCCTAATTTGTTTTATCTGTTTTATTATTATTTAATTTGTTTGATTATGTGTTTAAATTGGGGTGTTTGGGTTTTTGCAAAGGACGAATCCTATACCCGGATTAAGTTACACTTAAGAATAGGACGGGCGGTACAGTCATGTTAACTTTGAGGGAGTAATCCCGAAGAAGGAGGCATGAGATCCCCCACTCAATGGAAGGCCCTCTTGAACTTAATATTTGTTTACCGAGTAATCGGGAAGACATTATTATTTTCGACCTAGGAGCCCGAGAAGTTGAGGACCGTAGAACCCTAACCCATCTTGGCCTTTTTAGGTGTAGTGCGGAGACTATAACGGAGTAATTCGGAAGTAGTTGTTACGTGATGCTACGCTCGAACGAGTTTCTCTTGAGAATATTGCTAATTATTGAGTAATCAAGACGTTGGTAATATCCGAAGGAGGAATGTAGACTCTGGGAACTCTTAGAACCTTGTCTTACAGGTGTGATTGAACCATTAATACATACCTTGGGGTGGGCTTTACCCTTGACTCCATGCTGAAACGTTGAACCTTTGAACCCCATGTTTGCAAACTTGTGTGTAACTGTTGCATTATCATTCATTCATGCAT